CCCCCCCCCCCCCCCAAAAAAAAAAAAAATTTCCACTTTCTTACAAGCAGGTTTACTCAAAAGGCAGCGCAGAGCGGGGCCCATAAGTTTACCACCGTTTCAGTTTCTAGGAAGACATGCTAAGTTCTCTACATCAATCTTTGCCACTAAACATCACAAAGGTGACCAAGGGTGAAGAGAAGCAAGTTGTGAATCTGTGTCTGGTTTTAGGAGCAGAGGCACCTATGGAAACTTTTCAAAAGGATGGCGAGACTGGGGCCACTCTTAATCCTGGGGTGGTACTCCAAAATTAAAATTTTAAGAGTTTTATTATACTGTTGTCATATACAATTGCTCCTCTCTATATAGCGGTTCAGTTCTTGAGGCTTCACTACATCACAGTTTTTTTTTTTGACTATATTACATGTAAATACAAATGTGTGCTGACTGCCACCAGTCTTAAAAAAACAACAAAAAAAACCCTTATTGAACACGTGTTGCATTTTCAGATCTCTGCTGAATTTATTACAGGTTAATAAGAGAGTGGGACAGGTTTGTAGGAGTGTGGAAACTTTTATAAAGCCTTAAATATATATAAATAATAAAATTTATATAACACCGCTATTCCCCGGATTTTCACCCATCGCGGAGATCTCTGGAACGTAACCCCCACGATAGGTGAGGGATCACTGTGTAGGCTTTTAAAGAAATTAATGCAGTTTGGCAGTTAGTGAATGACCTTCTAATATAGGCATGTATTTCTTTAAATAATGTTTATCGCCTGCTGACTTGCATACCAAAGTTTTTACCTAATTTCTTGTGAGATCCCTTTAAGGTGGTATTTTGCTGAGCTGCAACTGTTGGGAAACTAGATGCTGGAAAAAGAAAAAACTCACAACTGTGAGAAAACTGTAACAAAATACATGCATTTCCAGGTGGGGTTTCACTGAACAGTGAACAATTGTGAGCACGTGACAATCAAGGCATGTGGCTACATTTTGAGCAGCCATTTCTTTTGAAAGTCATGCCTTGTATGTGCGCATAGCATGCAAAACTGTATTCATGGCCGTGCACATTATTTTGTTGCCCACACCCACCCACCTCGATAGCACCTCTTACATTTATAATCTAATCTACTTCTCAAATGAAGATGGGCATATTTTTGAAGCAGTTTATCCAATAATTAATATTTATCATCAGTGTGGTTTTAGATCAGGACATTAGGTTTAGATGTTTTCTGTCAGAAGAGAGATCCCAATGCAGGAGTCAAAACACAGCTCCAGCGCCCTCGAGAGATGCTGGAAACAATTGCAGCAAAATACAGATGCGTTTGAGATTGTAGATGCCCAAGACAACTTTCTGACTGTTTCAAGTGGAAAATTGTCATACAAGTTTTTATGTTTGTATATAAGTATGCATATCTGAGTAACTGGAGATTCTACACAGATGTTTCATTGTGATAAACTGAAAACTATTGTCTACTAATATGTGTGGCAGCCCCTTTCACATGTCTTAACTTTTTTCTCATATTATATATTTCCTTCCCTATCAGGTCTTCACCTGGTCAGATGTTAATCCAATCCATTGTAAACTCCGAAATTCAAGAAAAAGACGCGGGTCAGAAGCTTCTCAGACGCGTCTGTGTCAACAGAGTTTGCTACTTCTTAAGCCACGTGACATGGGCGGACAGTTCCCGCCTTCCTCTCTTCTGATTGGCTACTGAAGAAGCGCTGCGGCTTGTCATTGGTGAAAAAACGTGTCTGTAAAACCGAATTCCTCCGCTCTTATCTGAAGGGACATATCACGTCAGTAGTGGTGTCCAAACATGGAAAAGCTGAAGGAAGCACTTGTAAGGTAAAGATAAGAACGAAAGAAAAGCTAAAGTTGGTGCGGAAGAAAAATATGAAACTAGCTGTTTGTTTTTTTTAACGTATAACATCACTCTCGTGAAGCCGAGTAGCTTAAAGTCAAGTAAGCTAGCACGTATCCGCAATCGTATAGCTCCAACCGCCCGAAATCCAACGTGTTTATCGATTTCTTTTTCACCCCGAGTTGTCCTACTTTTTTGTTGTTTTGACTTCCTGAGCCTGCGAGAGAGGAAAAAACTCGAGAGGAACCGTGGGAGGGAAACTGGGAGGGGACGGAGAGGGAGAGGCAGTTCGTCAGATGGGGAGGAGTCTCTCACTGACAAGAGGGAGATTGGCTTTTCTGAGTTTGTCAGCTCCCCCTAAAATAGCAGTCAGCGTGTAAATGTGAACTGAAATTACGTTTATCCACTGGAGTCACCGATATAGAGTGTCTATATACAGCGACTGACTTGGGAGTAAAGGTGAGTACCGGAAATAGAAACATTGTTGCGGAGCGTGGCAGCCGTACTGTTAGCTTCACTGTGGGAGAGAGTAGAAAACAGGAGCGCGAGAGGGAGACGTAGAGTGGATTTGGGACACGTTAGATGTGTTTTTCTGCCTTTCTCCGTGCGGGGATTTAACACGCACACAGCGCAAAACTCTGCTTGTGTCATTCCACAAGGGTGACAGTGAATTACGAGTGAGCTATCGGTGCCATAAAATGTCAAAGTGTCAGGTGAAAGGGTGAAGGCAGCGCGCGCGCTGTTGATGTCTGACAGCTGTGAGAGTTTTACGGCATTTATCAGCGACAAGAAGTTGTTTGGGAGCTTCTCTAAGAGTCATGATTGTTTAAAATCCCCCCCATTTGTAGTCATGTAGCTCGTAAAGTGAGCATGTTAAGCCACCGTTGGGGCCAAAACAACAATCAGTGTGTATGTAATAACACTGCTGAGCCACAGGATTGCTCACACAGTGGCAATGTCGTGGTAATAGAAGCTGTAAGTCGTACAAGTGACTGTAAATTACAGGTTTCAGTGTTGTGCAGCTTTCTAAAAGCTCAAAACATCATTTAAATAAAAACCGATACATTTTTTAAGTTGACATCAAAGGAAATTGTGTTATTTATGCTGCATGTCTTAATACCTGAAGAGTAAACATTGCGTTGATGCCCTAAGTTGAGTTGATTTAAACCTAATTATGTGAATTTGATTCTTCTCACTGTTTCAGTTAGTTGAGGATCTCACATTTAGGTGGTAAAATGTGGGGCAGGAACCCATATAGGCTGTTTTGTGGGCTTGTAAGAGAGGATCTTTGCTGTCTTCTTTAAAGTCTCTGGCACGCCGGTGACCTTAACCCCTGGCCAAAGTGGAAAGATGCCAACGGTAACCTGACCTTCTCAAATGTTTCTGGTGTATGCCTACACCTCACATTGCTGATTTCTGCCGCACCGAAAGAGTAGTTTTTATTTTAGTTGTAAGAGAAAATACAGCCCGAAAACTTCCAGGACTTTGGTTTTCTTACATGTTGCAGCTTATAAAGTCATTTCTGTGCGATACTAAAATCCAGCAAAGTGTAAAGCAATTTGTTCAGTAGATTGTTCATGCGAAAGGAAATTACTTTTGCTTCATCTAGGTTGTAAATATTTTACAGCACACAGTGTGTTTACTTTGCATGTCCGGACAAATTAATGGCAAATTTTACTGTAAAAGCAGTTTTGAAGCGAACTTATATTTTTAACAATCTTTTTTTTTTTTTTAATTGTTGCGTTTACTGTAACGACTTGCACGTTAGCGTACCAGCTGGTTACCAGTGATTTCTGAAGCAAAGTGTTAAAGCACCTTCCAATCTGCAGTCATCAGCCTGCGCTGCCCGAGGCCTCGCCAATAATGGGCCTTGTTGCTCATGATTCACATCATGTGAGCTCTTATGTCTAACGTGTAGATGTGGGATTCTCTTCGCTGAAACGAATATTGTGTTAACAGTTTATGTCCTAAATTAATGAAATGATCATGAAGGCGCATATAGAGCCATCAAATGTTTCTTTTCACATGCATGCTGCTCTAACCTCAGGGACCCAGAACGATCTCTCTCTCTTCCTCTCTCGGTCATTACAAAAATACACAGAGGTTTGATGATATGACCATTAGATTCCATCCTGCCTCATTTAATCAGGATGACGCAGTAATATCCCCTGATGGATCGCCGATGACTGCCACTGTTTATAAAACGTTTTAGCCTTGTTATTCGTACTGTTTATGTGCCCCTGCGTGTCTCTCTAAACTTGTGTGGTTGCTTGTTAACGTCTCAGCACAAGTTCTCATTTAAAAAAAAAAGGGTGGGGGTTGGGGGGGATGAGAGGTGGTGGTGATGGTGTGAGGAACGGGCAGCTGCAGCATCTTTTACCGCACTCCTCATCCCACTTCAATCTCGGTGTCTCAGCCTCTCCTTCCAGGAGAAATGTGGAGTGTGTGGGCGAGTCGGATCTGCAATTAACGCTGGTTGTCAGAAAGAAAATGCTGGCGTTTACACCATGCCTCTGAATCACTGAGTGAAAGTCTTTCTCCTCCACTCTTCTCCTCCCAGGACATTTATTTTTATTTATTTTTATTCCTTGGAGGACTAAACTCTAGAGAGCTGCAAACCAAAGATGCATTGAGTGTACAACATGAGCTAGATGCGGAACGTTCAGGGCCAATAAAAAGAATAGTTTTTCTCTCATCCTTTGGTAAGCCAAGGTATTTTATTTAT